CAAAAGAAAATCAAGGCACTAAACCAGAACTGTCTAAGGACTCCAAATTTCTGGAATGACAAATAAAGGATAAAACACTATTGAGTTGGTTATTTTCTATTCTTTCCGATGACATGTTCAATGAAGTGATGCACCTTACGACAACTCAAGAAATGTGGGAGATGCTTCACAACATATATCAAAGGGAAACATTTGCCAATGTTCTCCAATTTAAAACATAATTGATCAATTTACAAAAGGGCTCTTAATCAGTAACTGAATACTTGAACAAGTTCAAAACTATATGTGACCACTTTGCAGCAATTGGTAGTCCAGTAAGTGATCAAGATATGGTTCTCTATACCCTCAAAGGTCTTGGTCTAGAGTTTAAGACCTTTGAGACCTCCTTGATGACTAAACCACCATTTCCGTTCTTCTCAGAGCTTCGATTTTCTCTTCTCACATATGAAGCTCGGCTTGTATCTTCATCGATTATTGAAAGTAATCCTCAAGCCTGGGTGAACGCATCATCAGGGCAAATAGGTGGATATGTTCGAGGACGTAGTCATGGAGGTAAAGGTCGCAACCCAAATCAGCAAGGCATCCTTAGAGCCAACCCACCTTTCCATCAACCTCTTCAGCTAAGAATGGGCATGATACCTCGCGTAACTTGCCAGTATTGTAGGTGACATGGACATATTGCTAAAAACTGCTGGGACAAAAAAACTCTCATCATCCCACAATGCTCTAGTGCATGATTTCATCAATCTATCAACCACTACGCCAACTGATTGTTCTTGGGTTATGGATTCCGGTGCAACTGCTCATATGACAGATGACAACTCTCAACTTAGAGGTATGATTCTTTACCATGGTTCTTGTATAGTATTCACTAGAGATGGTACTGCCCTACCTATAACCCATATTAGAACTGTGAGTATTTCCACTACCTTTGGTTCCTTAAATATTCCTAATGTTTTACTTGTTCCCAAACTAAAGAAACAACTCATATATGTATCTCAATTTGCTAAAGATTTTAAGTGTTGTTTTGAGTTTACCCATTATGGTTGTGTTGTGAAGGATCTATAAAGTGGGAAGGTGATTGCTGAGGGGGTGCTGAGAGAAGGTTTGTATGTGCTTCAAAATGATCAACTCTCTGGTCTTGCTACAATTATCTCCACAGCTAGAGGAGGAACTATTTTGTAGCATGAGCCCTTAGGTCATCGTAGTTTCACTGTTGTCAGTCGTCTTGGAAGAGAGTTGGCTCTACTTAATTTTGTTGACGATTTATCTCTTGGTTTATTGTATTCTTCTTGTCAGTTAGGAAAATACTCCGAGACTACACTTAACTCTTCTAATAGAAAGTGTAATGCTCCTCTTGATTTGATTCACATTAATGTTTGGGGTCCAGCCCCAGTTACTTCCTTATCATGTTTTAAATTTTATGTTATCTTTGTGGATGATTATGTTAGATTTACTTCGATATATTTTTTGAAGCAAAAAATCTGATGTGTTTAATTGTTTTTGTTAAATTTCACACTTATGTTGAGCTTCTATTTGATCGCAAACTCAAGGCTTTTAGATCTGATAGTGGAGGTGAATTTACCTCTCATGTTTTTAAATAATATTTGAGTCAGCAGGGAATTCATCGCAAATATTCTTGTCCATACACTCTAGCACAAACTAGTGTTGCTGAGAGCAAGCATCATCACATTGTTGAGAGTAGTCTTTTCATGCTGTATACAAGTGGTCTACCTTAATTCCTTTGGCCAGAAGCTTTTTCTACTGTTGTATATCTCATTAACAAATTGCCAAGCTCTACATTGTCATTCATATCTCCCTTCCAAAAGCTCTTTTGTAGTAAACCAAATTAATCTTTTCTCCAGGTATTTGGATGCATATGCTTCTCACACATTTATTCTTCTCAAAGAAATAATTTTTTTCCTAAGGCTTATAAGTGTAGGTTTATTGGATACAACTTCGAACATAAAAGTTACCGATGTTATGACAAAGTGTCAAGACGCTTTTTCATTGCGAGACATGTAACATTTGATGAAACTAGGTTCTACTTTAAGAACCAGTGTTCCCAAACTAATACAAATAGCATGTCAAATAATGTGTCTGCACCTATTTCAATGCCTTTTCAATCACAAGAAAAAGTACACTCACAAGCTCCAATCTCATCTGAAGTTACAAATGAATCATCTTAGCAACATCACCCTCATCAGTCATCGCCTCACTCTGACAGGTCTGATCAACAACCTATTTCCTCGACAGATGTTTCACCACTTTCTTTTTCTTCTCCTAGTTCAAACTTAGATGCATCTCCCATAGTGCAACATGATTTATCTGAAGGACCCTTAGCAGTCTCACCTATACCACCACGCCATTCCTCTCGCTCCACACAACCTCCTAGACATCTGTCAGACTACTAGCTTTACTGTACAATTGTTTCTTCTCCTGACACCATCTCCAGGATCTTAAGAACAAAATACCCCATTGAAAGTTATGCCTTGAGAAAGATATTATCTTTCGATCATCTAGCATTTGCAAGACAAATGTCTCAAATTTGAGAACCAACCACCTATGAAGAAGCTGTCTTTGACTCGGGATGGCTGGCCTCAATGAAAGAAGAGATTCATGCACTTAAAAGGAATCACACTTGGGAATTAGTGCCATTGCCTCCAGGCAAAAATATAGTGGGTTCAAAATGGGTGTACAAAGTTAAGGCCAGATCAGATGGCTCAGTTGAAAACTTAAAGTCCAGACTAGTGGCCAAGGGCTTTAATTAATAATATGGCATTGATTATGATGAAACTTTCAGTTCAGTTGTGAAGACACTCACTATTTGATCCATCCTGGCTATGTCATCTATGTTTAATTGGAAACTTCATCAACTTGATGTGAAAAAATGTATTTCTTCATGGTGATTTGAAAGAAGAGGTGTACATGCAACAACCTAAAGGATTTGAAGATCCCTTACGACCACATCATGCCTGCAAATTAAAAAAGGCGATTTTATAGACTCAAACAAGCTCCTCGGGCATGGTTTGAGAAATTCAGTTGTTTACTCCATAGTATTGATTTCCAAAGAAGTATGGTTGACTACTCCTTATTTCTTAAAAGATCATCATTAGGTATTGTTATCCTTCTAATTTATGTGGATGATATCATTGTTACTGGAAATGATATTAAAGGCCTTGAACATATTAAGAAAGAATTGAAACTGAACTTTGAAATGAAGGATCTTGGAGAATTAGAATATTTTTTTAGGATTGAAATTCATCGGAACAAAAAAGACATTGTTCTCACCCAACATGAGTATATTCTTGACTTATTATCTAAAACAATGATGTTGGGATGCAAGCCTATTTCTACCCCGGCTGAAGTAAATAAGAAGTTAAAGATTGAAGAAGGGGAATTGTTACCTAATCCTTCCTTGTACAAAAGTGTAATTGGTGATCTTTAATATCTTACATTTACACGTCTTGACATTGCTTATGCAGTGAATACAATATGTCAATTCATGCAGGCTCCTCAACAACCTCATTGGGAAACCACAAAAAAGATTTTGATGTATTTAAAGGGTTCTATACATGATGACTTATTCTATACTTTGTTCAGTTTATCTGACCTCAAAGCACACTCTGATGCTGATTGGGTTGGATGTCCTAATGATCGTAGGTCCATTACAGGATTCTGTATCTTTTTAGGAAAGAGTTTGATTTCCTGAGTAGCAAAAAGCAAGCCTCAGTATCTAAATCCAGTACAGAATCAGAATATAGAACAACGAGTATTGTTGCGGCAAAAATTACTTGGTTACGTATGCTCTTTAAGGAAATTGGTATTTCTACTATTATAGCTTGTGATAATCAAAGTGCCATGCGCCTAGCCACCAGTCCTATCTTCCATGCTCGCACTAAACACATAGAAGTTAATTATCATTTGATTAGAGAAAAGGTTGTATCTGGTTCTATTTCAATTACCTTTGTTCCTTCATCTCATCAACTGACAAACATGTTCACTAAAGCATTAACTAGATCAAGGCACCATGAGTCCACATACAAACTCTTGATACACAAGACACATGCTCGGCTTGAGGGGGTGTTAAGGATGAAATTGTCTTTCATAACAATGTATATGGTATTTGTTCATTCTTTACCCTCAAGGGTATTTTTGTCCACTATACATATATATAATAATATTTAAAACTAATTGTTGAAGGGAATGAATAATTCGTGATTTTCTCTTCACTTTTTATCTCTAGGGTTTTATAAGTTTTACAATGCCAAAGTTTTAGATGAAAATTCAATGAAAGTCTTATATGTTTCTTGGGCGGTGAAGAAATGGGACAATCCCACATTGAAAATTCAGGGCGGCAGTGCATATGTGCACACTAATCAGTGCGTCTGACATATGAGTGTGATGGTATGCTCACATGAAGGTGACACTAGTTTTTAAGAGGTACATTGTTGCCCCTTGTTTTGAAAAAATATCGAAAGTTCTTTTGAAAAATTCAAAAAATACATTTACCATGTTTTTTCAAACAGAATCCAAACCGGCCGTTTCAGTTTTGATAAAAATATCGAAAATGTCATTGTAATTTTTTTTCTTCAAAAAATGCATTTAACAAGTTTTTTCAAACCGGATCCAAATCGACCGGTTCTAATTTGACATAATCAATTGGTTTATGACATAACAACTGGTTCAGTCAAAAATCAGGCTGGTTAAAAGGGACACTACCAGATCTCGACATATTGAGGAATTCAAAACCGTCTTCAATTTCTTAACAAGATCAGGCGATTCCGATATACACCACCGAATTTTCAAACGTTCGTATTTTTAAAAGAGAGGCATTCATCTCTCATTTCTTAGGGCACCAACTCGCCCTTAATAAGTGCAATGATTGCATTTTGCGTAGCTTTTAGGGTCATCCGGCACGTGCAAATTTTCTGGGCTCAGGCTCGGCAAAATCCTGCCCTTCCAAAATATGCGGCGTAGGCAGCTCCAGTATATAAACGCAACCACCTACTCTCTTATCTCCATGCTCCCACGACAACAGTAGAGTGAGAGGAAATCTGTCGCTCTTTCTCTCTCTAATGGCCATGGCTTCTATTGCTGCCTCTTCGTTGCTTTCTTCCACTTCTTCCTCTTCTGCACTCTCCTGCAAATCCTTACCGAAGGCCTCGTTATTCCCTTCGCCTAAGCCAATCTCTCAGAGGCTCTCCCTTCCTAAGGGCTTTCAGAGCTTTGGAAAGTCTTTCAAATCTCGCTCCAGAGTCTATCAGAACTGCTCTAAGAGGAGTCTGGTGGTGAATGCTGTAAGTAAAATGCTTTTTTAGGGTCTTCGTTATGAACCATTTTTGTGTTCATGGCTTGATAGCTTTTTTATCGCGTTTTCTTTTATTTTTAATCATTGCTCATGCTTCAGGATTAGGAATCTCGTGATGGCCATTTCTTTTTTAGTTTAGTTAAAGTTAATATACCCTAACTCCTAGGGTTTAATGAACTTTTGGCTTTGATGTTTAACGGGAAATCTGTCAGTGGGAGTGATTTTAGGGTTATTTTCAGCAAATCCCTGGTGTTTAACGGGGAATCTGTCAGTGGGAATGATTTATATTTTCAGCAAAAACCTGGTGAATTATGGTGCAAAGAGCATTTTTTTTTCCTCTTTTGCGTTTTGGGTTTAGTTTTATTGAGCAAAGCTGTGATATAACTTGGTTTTCTTTTGTTGAGTTTCATGCTCATTAGTTCTTGTGGGAGAATTTAAAAGTAACTAGTTTTGCCAGATTTTAGATGAACATGTGATTTATTCTTAGTTTTGACATTAATTGATTTCTATTAGAGTTTTTGTCATTTTAGGAATAAGTTTAGGGTTTTCATTTCAATTGTTTGTGATGTTTTGTCTGTTGGATTTGTAAGGCCTTTAATAGCGACATAAATACAACATTCTCCCAATTAGCCTTTGAATGCCTTACAATCTCTCTAATACCAATGAAAGTAGGACTAAGGTGATCTAGTATGATGTACATTATTTTTATTTTTGTTTTTCTACGTTGACTAGAACACTTATAATGGTCCTTTACAATTAATTCAACTCAAAAGAATAAATCGACTCTCGCTTGTTGCCACTAAGAACAATTAGTTTCATTGAATAATAAAAAGAGAATATAAAACTAAGAGAAAATAACATAAGGGATAATGAACTGCAGAAATAAAAAAAACAGTGCCAAAAGATTTCCTCAACTAGTATTTGAAACACCCTACATTGGGTCTTCGTCTCCGTCTCCAATGACGCATGGGATTAAAAGGTCAATTTCGGATCTTAATATAGAAAGCTTTGGTTATCTCTTCACAAAATGAGAGTATGTGGAACTACATAAGGCTAATATCAAAACTACGTGGGCATGCCCACCTTCTCTACTTTAGATGGTTAGACCTATTGAGAGAGGAAGAGAGAATATGTTAGCGAGAGAAGAGAGAAGCCTAGAGGGGGGTGTGCCCCCTAGAGAGAGAGTTGAAAGAGAGAAGAGAGAAAGTTGTGTTTAGAATGGGAGAGGAGGCCCTATTTATAGTGTTACAAGAGGAGATAGGGTTATGTAGAGATAACCATCACAAAATCTGATCTTAATCTTTTGATCTTGGAGTTCTGTGGGGTGAGAGATTTGAGCCATCCATTCTTCATATCGTCATCATGATAAAAAATAAGGTGTTAGAACCTTATCCTTCAGTTCCTAGACCTTTATCCCATCACATAAAAGATATACTCAAATATTATATATATTGTATTTAATGAAAATATTTTCTTGTTTATATCTCATTAACCACTTCAATCTTTCAAAATATATCTTATTTTCAAAGACAAATCTGATATCTTTTTAAAACATATTTCCGCAACCCACAAAATGTAGATCTTCACAAAGTGGGGTATGGCCTCTCATGGCCCCACTAAAAGTAGCGTGCCACCTAGTGGGCCCCTCAATGCAAATCTCAGTGGGGTCCATAAGGACCCCATGAGCCCAAGCAACTAATAAAGAATTAATTTAGACGAGGAAATTTTTGTGGTCATTAAAGGATTTACAAGAGGAAATTTACCCAAGGGATTTGAAGAAAAGGGAAAGGGAAATCTAGTCTGTAAATTTAACAAATTCCTTTATGGCCTTAAACAAGCATCGTTTCAGTGGTACATCAAGTTTCAAGAACCCTTATCTTTGGCTGGATTCACCACAAATGAGGAAGACTAGTGCATCTATAAAAAAATTTAGTGGGAGTGATGTAGTATTCATCTCTTTGCATGTGGATGATATGCTAATTGTTAGTAGCTTAATTGCCGTTGTGTCAAAAACAAAGATATTCCTTGCACAACAGTTTGATATGAAGGATCTAGGGGAAGGCTCTTATGTGTTGGGCATAAAAATAATAAGAAATACAAAAGAAAGAACCATTTAATTTTCCCAAGCTACTTACTGTAAAAGAATACTGGAAAAAGTTTGAAATGGATAAATGTAAGCCCATGGCAACTCCCATAGATAAGAAGGCAAAGGTAAGAAATAAGATGTGCCCTACTGAAGATGAAGAAAAGAAAGCCATGGAAAGAATACTCTATAGAAGCGCAGTAGGGTCCCTCATGTACACCATGACAGGAACAAAGCCTGACTTGTCTTATGCCATGAGCATGATTAGCCAGTTCCAATGCAGCCCTGGGATTAAGCATTTGAAAGCGGTTAAGAGAGTTCTAAGAGACTTAAAGTGAATTGAGAACTACATGTTTACATATGGAAGAGGATCGGAAATAGCAATTGAAGGATATTCTGATGCGAGGTATCTAGGAGATCCGGATGATGCGAAGTCCACATCTGAATGTGTTCATGCTTGGAGGAAGAACTGTTTCTTGGAATCGAATAAACAAGATGTGGTAGCATTGTCCACCATGGAGTCAGAGTATGTGACATGTTGCATGGTAGCTAAGGAGGCTGTAAGGATTGAGAAGTTTCTTAATCGGCTAGAGTATGAGCGCGTATGATGTGAGTGCGTGAGAATCTTCTGCGACAACACAACTGCAATTTGCATGTCTAAGGAGCCATGATTCCATAAGAAGTCCAAGCATATAAAGCTCTAATTCTATCATCTGCGCATTGAGGTGCGGTGTGGAGATATCGAGATCAATTACATATCCAAAGAGGTAATGATTGTTGAACCTCTTACAAAGGGGCTTGCTGCAAATGTTTTTGTAAAACATGTGAGAGAGATGAGGCTGAGAGAAAGTCAACAAGAGATAGTGTAAGGCCTTCAAAGGCCAAGTGGGAGAATGTTGGGTTTGTGCGGCCATTAAAGGCCTAATGAGAGCTTGTAAATCAAATTTTAGTGGAGTGGGAGTGGTCTTGTGTGGACCATGAGATGCAAATGTTATTTGCCATAACTCAGACTAGGCTTCACATGCTAGCCCAGTCGAGTTAGAAAACCCTTGATGCCTGGGCATGGAATAAAAACTGATGAGGGTTAATGGGTTACCTCTTGTTGAGGTTGGAGTTGCCCAAATGGGTGAGCCAAGGGACGATGTGACTCTTATGTGTGATGGTTGGTCGTTAGAGAAGAGGGCTAAAGCCATTGATCCATCACACGACATGTGCTTAAGATGGCCATATTGGGAAACAGTTCACCATTGAGGGTGACACATGCACATGTACGAGAGATTACCCCTATGCACCATAGAGCTGTTGTTGCAGCAGGTCTGTTTGACCTTACACCTAATCTCTACGGGAGAACCTGTAATCCATAGACTAGGATTATATCCCCTTGCTTATTTGCTGACTTTGGTATCTCAATCATGAACTGTGGGTCATAGTCCACAGTAGAAGATGGAGTGTTTCAAAATAAATCCTAGACCTAAAAAGATCCTATTCCCATCAAATTTATTTTCTTAAATATTGATTAATTTTAGAATAATTATTTTAAGAGTTTGAATATTTTATTATTAATTAAAATATTCAGAGAGAGATAAAATAATTATTAAAAAGGTTTATTTCATAAAGATAATTTTTTTTATTAATTGTGTGAGCTCATGGGGCCCATTGGACCCCACTGAGATTTGTGTGTGTGTGTGTGTGTGGGGGGGGGGAGGGTTCCCACTAGGTGGCATGCCACTTTTAGTGGGGCCATGAGGGGCCACGCCCTACTTTGTGGAGATCCACATTTTGTGGGTTGTGGTGATATGTTTTAAAAAGAAGGGAGATTTGTTTTTGAAAATAAGATATATTTTGAAATATTAAAGTGGTTAAAGAGATATAAACAAGAAGAAATTTTTTGATTAGATATAGTATATCTAATATTTGAGTATATATTTTATTTGATGGGATAAGGGTCTAGGAATTGAAGGATAAGGTTCTAGTACCTTCCTTTTGATCATGATGACTGATTTGAGGAATTAATGACTCCAATCTCTCACCCCCCAGGTGTCCAAGATCAAACAATCAGGATCAAATTTTGTGATGGCAATCTCTAAAGAACCCTATCCCCTCTTGGAACACTATAAATAGAGACCTCCTCTCCCATTCTAAACACACCTCTCTCTCTTCTCTCTTTCTACTCGCTCTAGGGGGCACTCCCCACTCTAGGCTCCTCTCTTCTCTCTCTCTAAAATATTCTCTCTTCCTCTCCCAATAGGTCTAGAAGAGGGGTCACGCCCCACCTAAAGTAGAGAAGGTGGGCACGTCCCACATAGTTTGAGATTAGCCTTATGTAGTTCCACCTACTCTCATTTTGTGAAGAGATAACCAAAGCTTTCCATATTGAGATCTGAAATTGACCTTTTGATCCCAAGCGCCATTGGAGGTGGAGACACGGTGTGGGGTGTTTCAAGGACCGGTTGAGGTAATCTTTCGGCATTCTTCTTTTGATTTCTACAATTCATTATCCCTTATCTTCTTTTCCCATAGTTTTGTATTTTTTTTTTATTATTCAATGAAACTTATTGTTCTTAGTGGCAGTAAGCGAGGGCCGATTTATTTATTTATTTATCTCTTTTGAGTTGAATTAATTGTAAATGATCATTGTAAGTGTTCTAGTCGGTGTAGAAAAGAAAAATAAAAATCAGTGTACACCATACTTGATCACCTTAGTCCTACTTTCACTGTCTTCAAGCTTGTGGATTTTGTTTCTTTGGAAAAAAATTATTCTAATTGTTTATTTAACGCTTTATGTTTTCCCCATCTAAAAGATGGATTGAAACATTGACCGTTAGGGCTGTGACCCTTACACTGAACTGAAGTTGTTTAACCTATTAAGCTATACTTTTATTTAGTTGGAGTGCTGTTTACGTTTTATATTTTATTATTTTTTTTTGGGTAAGTATATTTTATTAATTTCCCTTTGTTAATCTCTATACTTTCAGTTAGTCGGAGTGCTGTTTATGTTTTATATTTTATTAATTTCCCTTTGTTAGTCCCCTCAAAAAATAATTCCCTTTGTTAATCTTTGTTGCGTTGCTGGCAATTGGTTGAAGGGAAGTTCCATAATGCTGGAAAAGAAAGTCTTGATGATTATCATTGTATTGAGATACCTGAAGACCACATTGTTAATAACTTGATAATATACTTTCCTTATCAAAAGTTTCTTGGTTTCTTACTCTACATTGTTAATAATTCGATAATATCTTTTCCTTATCAAAACGTTTCTTGGTTTCTTACTCTCTGCAATTTATTTTCCCCCTTCTGTTTAGGTGTAGAAATTGTGGGGTTTGGATGTAGTGACTGATACTTTACTTAGCATGAGTATAGCATTTGGGTAATCATAGCCAGCATGCATCATTCACACTTATTCATTGGCAGTGGAGTCATGTAATTGTTCTTGCTAAGAAAACGAAGGTGGCCATAAAAGTAGGTAAGAACTCATCATCCATTGTCCTTGGATAATCATGGATGGAGGATGCTGGGTCTGAGTACCCTATTCTGTACTCATACCAACCATGGAATACTATTCCATACTCATACCAAGTATGGATACTATGTATACTATTTATAGTTGGATACAATGTTTTAAAACATGCTGATCCTGATCGGGAATCGCTCATCCAAATCATAATTGGGCAGGCTACCGACATGGTTCCTTTACAAAACTTGGAAGTGGTCCGATTTGGTGGCTACCTAATATAATTTTTCAATATTATTTAAATATTTAAAAGTTTTTACGTTGGAAAATCAACAATCATATTGGGATCACTGATTCGGATTGGTTCACTTGGGGGCCGAGCCGGCACCCTATTCCCGGTTGTAAAACACTTTCTGTATACGGAATCCATATCTGTTATCTGTATATGCAACAAACATTCTATATAATTTATGATCAGCAAGGATAGCCTTTATTGGTTCTTAAAATCAGGAGACTTATGTGTTCTTTTTATTTTTATTGTTTATTATTGGAATCATCTTGGACAGTTTCTTTTGCTGGCTGAATTGTTTCTAGAACAAAAGACTATTTTGCAATTGCCTACGACCAGTGTTCAAGAATGTTAAAGTCGGTTATGTTGACCGATTTTAATGGGCCAAGCTCGTCCCAGACTAACATGTGATGGACTACCCTACAAAGTGAAAATCACTTGATATGGTTGAATATCAGCTCTTCTGAGGTTTATAATGGCTGTTATATATCAGCATGGCAGTTGATATACTGTCTTTGCAATAGTTGAAACAAGCAAGCAATATAAACCCCATTATATATGATTTTTCTTAAAAAGAGTTGCCAGTTATAAATTGGTATAAAGCCATTGCTTCTAACTATTAAAAAATAAATTCCTGATTTCTTGGAAATGGTTTTGTCACTAAGAAATTTCTTGAAAATTTTAATCACTAAAACGTGATTACTATATCTGTTTGTATCTTATATTTTCCTAATATTACCTGTTAAAAAGTGGTGTAGTTTAGAACATGATAGTTTTTTGCTTCACCTGTTTTACATTCGCTATAAAGCCATTATTTCTAACTTTAAGAAAATAAATCCATTATTTCTTGAGAATATTAATACATAGAAATTTCACAACTATTATCACCTGTTAAACTATTATATTTTAGAAAATGATAATTATTTTCTTGTCTTGTTTTAAACCATGATAGATCTGCTGATACTGGTATGTTATGGTATTGCGTTCAGCTAATCTGGACATAAATACTGATCTTTTGAAGGTTTGCCTAAATCTTGGATCTAGGTCAAAGCAGTCTAAATTAACTACCTCAAAACTGCATCCCAAACTCACAACCACACACATGCATGCCCCCACACAGAGATTACACAGAAAGTAAAAAACAAATAGTGGGTTTGGGCACTTATTTTCTTAGTTATAAGGTGCAAACTATCACATTTTATGCTGAATGTATGCTATATTTTTGTTTGCTTTTTTGTCATGATTATATACTTCTGATTTTGTCTGATATGTACTTGTGAATGTGGTTCTCTGCAGTATGAGCCTCCATTGGTTGGAAATAAAGCCCCTGACTTTGAAGCTGAAGCCGTTTTTGATCAAGAATTTATCAAGGTACTTAATTTGCTTGATTTTCCTTTAGACGTTTGGGAGCTTGTGTTTTCTTGTGTTCCTGCAGAGGGGTCTGATAGTTTTAGTTAGTCGGCATGATACAACCCAAAATATGCTCTCGTCCTTTAGCTACAATCTCTATTATATACTAAGACTACCGTTGCTAGAAAACAAGTTTCATAGAGGCCAATTGTAGTTTCTTGTAATTACAGCTCCACAATGTGTTCTACTTAACTTTGCATATTGGTTTTTGGGTACTGTAAAGGTAAAGAAATTTTGTTAGGCACAGTCACAAAGACATGTCGTAGAGGGGCCTGGAAAACTCAGAGGATTTATGGAGACAGACGGACATGTCAGAAATACAACTGAGTTTAGAGGACTTAAGCAAATGCCAATCAAATCCAAGAATTGTTCCTTACAAGTTAAGGCAGTGTTCAATAAATATGCGGAAACTCCTCAAAGAGCAGGACACAATTCTTTGTCAGACAAGGTATTCTAGATGGTGCTTTAATGGCACATAAGTGTGAGTGATTCTTGATAGTTGAAAAGTGGACAAGTTGTCATCTCTCTAGAAACAAAAGTTCCATTATTTAAGAGGAGCTTTATGCTCACAGAGTTAAAAACATTTAGAATTGGATGAATATTTTTGAAAGGAACTTGAGCCCTATCTGACTATTCATCATATAAGCAAAAACTCAGGAAGTGGGGGCTGTTTGGAAGGGAAACAAAATTCCAATGTCCTTTCCATAATATAACTTGAGTAAAGAGATAAGATTATTGATGAAATTGTTCTATATGATGAGTTCTTATTAAGAACAAGGATGATAATCCAGGAGTGGGCCTTCTGAGGAAAGCACTCAATTAGATGAGCAGCAAGTATGGTTTTTGTGTAATGTTTTGTCTTAAATTTTGTTTTTGTTCGTCTTACCTAGGGTACTGATAGAAGTTGTATCATTTTGTGCACTAGAGTACTCAATAGGAAGGGTAGGTTTTCACTTGAGGGAGTTGGGAAGGACTCCTTGTCCATTTGGGAATACCGATAAATGAATGGACTGTGTTTTTCAGGTTGCTCCCTGGTTTGTGGTAAGAAATATTCTACTCAATTATTGAAGTTCTTGAGGTTTAGTTTATTTTGGTAGTTCTAGAGTTGAAATATGGTACACTATCTTTGTTAATGTAGAATTGATGAGTATTAAGCTTTGAACTTGTTTATTGGTGATTTTAAAAACGATTTTAAACTATTATAATCGCTATCTGCATGCCGAAGTGAAAGCTTTCTTTCACTTACTTCCTTCAACACATTCCGGTCAAATACTAACAGGGTGAGGGAAATCGCTTTAGGAAACATATAAACAATTTGTCTCCTATTAGACATATTTGCATTTTTCCTATGTTCTCGTGTGAACTAGAAAAAGCGTACCACTATGCAGATTGCACCAGGCTATGAAAAAAAGGGAAAAGTTTATATAGAGCCTAGGCTCTAAACAATCAAATTAGAGCCTACCTAAAAAATTTCATTAGAAGAGGTTGTTTTGATGCCCAAATATCCTCAAATTGATCATTTCGACATCAAGATACATGGACTTGAGAAAAAAATGGATTTCAAGTTTTAGAAATAGTGCATATTGTAACGCATTTTTGGACCGTCAATTTTTTAGTTATTCAAGTTTTCATAGATCTGCTCGGTCTACACTATTTTTGAAGTTTTAAATTTTATAATTAAAGATGGAAATATATTTTAAGGCTAGTCAAAGATTTACAGTATTGAAACCACATTTCTCGACACTATTTGAAGGTGGGCTCTAATTTGATTGTTTAGAGCCTCGGCTCTATACAAACAGCACCCTTAAAAAAATAAGGAAAAGAAAAAAGAAAAAAAAGAAAAAAAGGAAAAAAACACGAAAAAAAAGAGAAGGATGTAGGTTGCAATGTGCATGGATATTTTATGCTGAAGCACTAACAACATACATGACCCGTGCTCGAAGTTAGCCAAGCATGTGACTACAGTAGCTAATGCTAAAAGCATGCTTCTAACAATACACTAGCTAATGCTAAAGCATACTTCTTACAAATTTCAGTAAGTTCTCATTTCGCATTCTTGGTAAGGGGAAGACAGGTGCCAACACGGTTACTATATATCATTGAGAAGATTGCTAATTACATTTTATTTTTCCATGCAGGTCAAGCTTTCGGAATATATTGGGAAGAAATATGTGATTCTCTTTTTCTATCCACTTGACTTCACATTTGTCTGTCCCACTGGTCAGTTTCATCCTGTTTCTGCAGTATATGAGATGCTTCTGATCCTTTACATGGTTACTCTATGAAATTTTGTCCATTTTCTTACAAACAATGATAATAAATTAATAAGAGTTAAGCTGGCTGTTGTCTGACACGTTTGCATATTTTGAATTTCTGCATTGCAGAGATTACTGCTTTCAGTGATAGGCATTCTGACTTCGAGAAGTTAAATACTGAAATATTGGGTGTTTCAATAGACAGTGTGGTAAGTTGGTTTTACTTTTGGATTTTTGCAGAGCTACTGATGCCTAATTCTTCTGAGCATAGCTTTTTCTTTTCAGGACTCGTTGAATAGCTTGTGCATATCTACTATATGTGCTAATCTTCTTAGGATGTAGGTCCTTCCGTCATCATCATGCAAAAATGGCCATCCACTGTGTTTTACCCTAGTTGCTGGGATCTCCCAACCTATGTGGCAATCCCACTAAAAATCTCTCCCCCGGGTTTCGGGGAAGAGATCTTTAAAGGATCTCATTTCTATATTTTGCGATCTCAATCCCCTTGGTTAGGGATCTTGTTACCCACCTTAAAGACCAAGACAACGAGCAAATGATGATTTTCATGCCAGCTAGCAACACAATTATACTTCAAATATAGTTGCATTGCTTGCTGGCCATAAACAAAGAGATCCCTACTTTAAAGAGTATGTATAGTGTCAGGCTATATATACTCTCTAAGATTTGGAGGAAGATCCCCAAAAGGTTGGGATCCTCGATCTCTAACATATGCAGCACAGATGATGCTCCCAACCATAGAAATCTTTTAGCCTTTCATGACCCCCTGGCTCTTAATCCCTATTCGGCTCCCAATTCACTCTTGATTCTAACAACTATGGTTTGATCTAACAACAGCCTTTCCATTTGTCTCTCCATCAAGAAGTTGAAGAAAGAAAGGGAGTACCTTCTTAATATTTTGAACTTTTTAATTATGAACTTTATTTTTCTAAAAAAAGTGCCAAAATTTAAATTAGGGGATTTGAAGAAAAATCATCCTTACAGGTTAGACTCCTAATAGTAAAATTTCTTCACAATGTATAGGATGATATAATTTCGGATGAACATAATTTCTTGAATTTATATGGTTTCCTTCATTACTTGTGTTTTAAAGTAAGATTAAGGGATATGATAATTTCTCTTTTATTTTAATTTATTAACATCATCTCTATCATGATAAAATAAATCATTTTTATCAATTTAAAATATTATATAAAAAATATAATTCATAATTTTAATTGATTGTGCCTCTGAAGTGCACATACTGTGCAGTAGTAGGTTGATATGGTCTGAATCAATTGAAAGACTTATACTTGCTTTTGCAAGTTTATGCACAAAGATATTGATAGTTTTTGTTTGTTTTACCTTGGGACATCATTCTAAACAGGTTTACTCATGAGTCAAGTAATCAAGTCAATGAATCTGTGCTTTTGTCATCAGTTTCTGGTCTCTCTGCTTATTACCATTGCCTCTGAAGTCTGAACCTCATAGAGTTGTGGAGTTTCCCTTTAATGCTTATGAATTTACTTCGATTTTCTTTGTTTACGTTTTTTCAAATGTGAAGAGTACGGAAACTATTTGGATAATAAATGCTATTGGAACTGTTTAATGAAGGAATACATATTTTTCTCTTAGCGATTATGCAAAGTCTAGGAGCTTAAATGGTTTTATCGCTGGTAAGGGAAAAGATGATCCTAGAAATAGGTGCAGAAACCATTTAAAGTGTGCTAGGCATAGAAAACTGCGAACAGGCTTTTAATGCTGATCAAAGTAGTATGATGCAACTATTCAGTCTTTTATGGTGCTCTCGGAGTTTGTGAAAGAGTCCATGAGGGCAATTTCTTTTTTTTTCGCCCCTTTTGTTGGTGCTAATGCTGGACAGCTTATCGTCTCTCTAACCCTTGTGTTTCATCTTGTTCCAGTTCTCCCATCTTGCTTGGGTTCAAACCGATAGAAAATCTGGTGGCCTTGGTGATTTGAAATATCCATTGATATCTGATGTGACCAAGTCTATTTCACAATCCTATGGGGTTTTGATTCCAGAGCAGGTATCAATGTTTCTATAAAGACTTTAAATTGTACTGTAGAATGTAGACGTGTTTCTCTTCATAGTTCATATTGACTCTCTTCAAACTGATGTGCAGTCAAGAGTTTGATTTGTCTTTTCCTTTTGGTAAGTACTAGATAGTATTATTGCTCCTCTTTTTTGTTGGAAATGTGACCAAGATCAACCTTTATCCTATTTGGAGTAATGTTATTGCTGTCCATATGATATCATTATTGTTTAATTCCTGTTGTTTCTTTTCCTTTCTCTATTCCAGGGGATCGCATTGCGTGGGCTATTCATTATTGACAAGGAAGGAGTGATTCAACACTCCACCATCAACAATCTGGCAATTGGAAGGAGCGTTGATGAGACAATGAGAACACTTCAGGTGAGCAGTTAAAGCAATGAACTGTTTTATTATTTTGCAAAGGCTCAATCCTTACATTTTGCAGATTTTCTAAATTATGATAGGAAATAATTATATTCCACTGAATTTAAGCAAAATTTATGATATTGGCTGTTTCCAAGTCATCAATGCCCTTTGAAATCAAGGAAGTCAAGTGATTCCCGAGTCCCAACTATCACGCCCTCTCTCTGTCTCACACACAGAAATTTGATGTTTTATTTGTTTTTGAATTATAATTAATCCAAGTTCCTATTTTGAATCTTTTGTTGAACAGGCTCTGCAGTATGTCCAAGAAAACCCTGATGAGGTTTGCCCAGCTGGATGGAAGCCTGGAGAGAAGTCGATGAAGCCGGACCCCAAGCTAAGCAAAGAATACTTCGCAGCTATTTGAAAACCATGTCAATCTTCTCTGTTGTCCTAGAAAGTTTTGTTTTGATTTCCTGTGAGGTTTGAGAGAGAGAGAGAGAGAGAACCAATTATGGAAGGACTGGGAAGTTCTTTGGTAGAGAGAGAGAGTAACTTTATGAACCAATTGTGGAGGGAGTGGGAAGTTCTTCAGGAGAACTGGATTTGTATTTGTCAAGGGTAATCAGTTTGTATCGTGTTCTGGTGGTCTACCTACCATTTGAGCCGTATACTTGTTTTTGATATTTGGAAGGGAAGGTGGATGTTTTATGGAAAAAGTTTATATAGAGCCTAGGTTCTAAACAATCAAATTATAGAGCCTACCTCAAAGCTTTCACTAGAAGAGGTTGTTTTGATACCCAAATATCTTCAAATTGATCATCTCGACAGCAAGATGCTTGAACATGAGAAATGGATTTCAATAATAGTAATTTTTTAAAAGTTATTTTTTAATAGTAACTCTTTAAAAATAATTCATCCTTTATAATGTATTAGAACCTCTTATTAAGAAAGATGTTCATTCGAGAAATTGAAAAAGTTGAGAAAAGGAAAAACTTCGAATAACATATCATAAAAATGGGTGGAAAATAAAAATTACAAAAACACGGCATCCACATGAAAAAAATTTCATATATCCATAATTTTCTGCCATTATTATTTTGAGTATAAAGAAGTATATCCCCAAATGAATACTAGCTAATTATTATTTTGAGTATAAAGAAGTATATCCCCAAATGAATACTAGCTAATTATTATTTTGAGTATAAAGAAGTATATCCCCAAATGAATACTAGCTAATGTAAGTATTTAAGATGTTAGCTTTCTAAGTCTCATATGCCAAAAGCCCTATTAACTTCATTATAATTTGTTTATTGTTATGAATTAGAATGAAAGAAAAATATCAAAGCAATAGTTCTTGCATCAAAGAAAAGAAATGCTAAAAAAAATAAATAACAATAAATTTTAGAAAATTACTGAGAAATATGTGAAAAGAATTCAAACAAAATAACAAAGCTAGCCACCTTTCCCCCATTCAATCTAATTATTGACGAACGTAGAGTACAAATCAATATACTTTCAAGCAACTATTATAATTATGGGTAAACAACCGTTATAATTTAATAACGTTGTTTTTGGGACCTTTTTGATTTGGTTAGTAAACCTTCAGCTAGGACTACAGAGTTTCGACGGGTAAAGGGTTCAACACTAATGGAATATTACTTGCGGGTTGAATAGAGTTGGGTTTCTGATGTGGTCATTATGCCATTAACGGAGCTTCTATGGGAAATACGGGATGTATATATTGTTGCTGAAGCTGATGATGAGGCGGTTTGGGAGAGAGAAAATGACTGTCAATTTTAAATGAAACATTATATTATTTATTATGCCATGATCGAGCTTAAACAAGATTTGCACCTTCAGTCACAATATTTGGGTGTGAGTATTAGAGAAAATAGGTGTTTGTTTGACAATACCAATAGCTTACACGAATATTGTGGAGCAAGTGAATCTGCCTGAGTTGCCTAAAGTGGGAAAGACAATTTGGAAAGCATTTCGGGCGGCTCTTTTATAGGAAATTTGGAAGAAAAGAAGCCGAAGAGTTTTTGAGGGAGTGATGATCAATGAGGAGAGGATAAGATATAAAATGGTGGACTCTTTGTGGAACTGGTTTTTTATTTCAAAAGAGCATTCAGAATTTTGAAAGTGGATATAATGCTGAATCTGGAGACTGCAGCAAGATGAGGGTGAATAAACTGAGACTAAATTTTGATGGCGGTTCTTGTGGAAACCCAGTGCCTAGGTTTGACAAGGGATAGTGAGGGTGTTGCTTTTTTCTCGTTCTTGGGACTGTGTGGCCATGCAATGATGAATCAAGCAGAATTAGCATCTTTGTTGCAAGCGCAGGCGTGCATTGTGGTAGAAAGGGATTTTTTAAAGAGGAATGTTTCTATGGGACCCCACCCACATAGAAAAAAGAAAAATATCTTATTATTCGTTATTTTTTACTTTTATATTTCATGACACTCAAAGATTGAAAATATTACTTGTAAGCAAAAGGCTTCATCTTTTCTATCTTACAACTCCCTGTGTCACTTTGACCATGAATTTTTTATCCAGTAAAACACTAAAATGACATCCTCTCCAAATTTATTCGCTAACGTTTTCTCTCTCAAATCACCGTCTCTCTCTCAACTCTATCTCTCTCTAAAACCCTAGGTTATAGAGAAGTTTCCCTCTCTACATCGTCTCTCTCCTCTTTTCTAAACAATTCTCTTCAAAAAAAGTTATGCCAAACCGGTACTGCCAGTCTCATACTTTAATATATCTTTGCAAGGAGAGTCGATGTAGAGAGGGGAGATAATTTTTAGACAGAGATAGAGGGGAATTTTTTTACAACTTTGGATTTTAGAGAGAGATGGTGATTTGAGAGAGAATGTTAACGGAAAAGAAAAAAAAATGGAAAGGGTGTCATTTTAGTGTTTCTTTGGGTTAAAAATTCATGATCAAAAGGATTCAGAGGGTTGTAAGATAGAAAAGATGAAACATTTTACTTACAAGTAATATTTTCAATCCACAAGTCTCATGACATGTAGAAGTCAAAAATAAAGGATAAGAAGATATTTTCCCTTGTTTCTATGTGGGTGGGGTCCCATAAAAAACATTCCCCTTTAAAGAATCCCCTTCCACTACAATGCATGTCTGCACTTGCAATAATGATGTTATAAGTAATATTTTCAATCATTAGGTCTCATGAGATATAGAAGTAAAAAATAGGAGATAAGGAGATATTTTCCTTAGAAGAAATATGTGACTGTTACTTTCCCGCCATTGGATCCAAAGGAATAGAATAACACCAATCAAAATATCACTATTTGGTAACAAACTTGGCAACCAGCTCTCACATGTTGCCCTTCCCTTTCCCATCCCACCTATCACGCACCCCATTCTCTCTCTGTCTATCTCAATACTCAATCTCTTTCTAATCTCATTATCTCTCTCTAACCCCTACATTCCTCACCCACCGGAAACCCTAACCCTCTCAACTGCTCTCTCTCTAGCAAAAATGAGAGGAAGAGGAAGAGAGGAGAGCAGCAACAACAACTATCTCGCTCTCTCTCTCTAAAAAACAAGAGGAAGAGGAAGAAAGGAGAGCAATAGCAACAACAACTATCTAGCTTTTTCTCTCTAACAAAAACGAGAGGAAGAGGTAGAGATGAGAGCAGTAGCTGCAACAGTTCTCGCTTTCTCTCTCATTACTCATAGTATTTTTTTTTTTTTTTGTTAATTGGAGTTCTTACTATGGTTCTTACATGGACCTAAAAGTTTTTGTTTTCTTTGATCTTTTGTTCATTGTGTTTTTTTCTTGGTTTTGGAGAATTAAAAATCAAATGAACAAAAAATTTGTTGTTCTTGCCTTTCGTATTCTAGGGATATAATTGAGTGGCTTAGGAAGTGCAGAGAGAGAAAATCCATCATTTTTGTGGGTTTTGAAAGGAGTAGAATGATGAACATGAATCTATTAACCTATTAAATGCCTTGTCTTTTTAGCATATGCTTTGCTTTCTGGTGTAGTTAGATGGTAATTGGGTTTGTGCCTACTGCTTACTGTGTTTACGAATTAAACATGTAGTCTTATGGTGACCAATCAAATCCATTAAAAAACGTTAAAAACAAGCAAACAAACATCTGATTCTTACAACACAAGCAAAAAAAAACTCTCCCTTTGTAGAGTTTTTTGAGTTTCTTTCTTGCTCTTTCTTTGTAAAGCTTTTTGAAGTTTATGTATAGTGCTGATTTTTTTAGAGAGCAAATTCATCATTTTTGTGGGTTTTGAATGGTGCTGATTTTTTTGAGAGCAAATTCATCATTTTTGTGGATTTTGAAAGGAGGATAGGGATGAACGTAGATTTATTTTCTTACCATTTAGCCTTTTTATTTATTTTTTGCTTTAATTTTAATGTAAAAATATTCATTTTAATATACGTAACATTCAAACAATGAAGAAATTATTTTTAATAGATTCTCCTTTTGTAGAGTTTTTTGAGTTTCTTTCTTGCTCTTCTTTGTAAAGCTTTTGTGCTGCTCTCTCTTGTTTAAGTATGGTGCTATTTTTTAGAACTTCAAAACCTTTTCTGGGTTATCATATAACAGTTGCATCGGTTCTATATAATGGTCCACAATTAGAGATTGTTGATCATCCCTATTATTCACTTGTTGTTTTTGTATAATATATACTCTCTCAATGTTCCCAAGTCCACTTGTTGTTTGTGCATAGTATATAGCCTCTCGTATGGCTTTTTATCTTTATAATTCTTCTCCTTGTAAAGTTTTAATATTAGTATATGAAATTCTAAAGAGATGCTTTTTTTTTTTTTAAGATTAATTGTTTTTGTGCAGATTAAGTCCAGGGAGCTTGAGAAGAGCTACTATGCTAGTGTCAAGAATTATGCTAGTGTCAAGAATCATCTCTTTCCCTGCTCTGTTTTTTTGTGGTTTTTGTTTTTTTTGAGTTTTGCTGTCATTTTAATCCTGACAAGTACTTTTTAAATTAGAGTCAAACTCAACCACAATCTTGCGAAATTTTAGAGATCCGAGTTACCAAACGTTTTTTTATGCCGTCTTTGCTTTAACGATGTATATCCATGTCGATTAACGATGGATTCAATATATTGAAGTTGCAATTTTCATTCTCCTTTCTAATCCATTTGTATCTTTCATATACAACAACTCTACTTACATATACTATGATGTACATGGTTCACACCAATTGGTTAAAATTCTCATTCCAATACGGACAAGTAAACAATGTTCTAGCTATCCTTGAATCCCAACTTAGAAATATCTTACTATTGGTTATTACTTTAAAGATGTGAAATTCATTTCAATTTCTTTGAAATGTCGCTTTTGCACATTTCAGAAAACATCTTCTCAGCCAGTAGCTGCCAAATTTTCATCGATTTATGATTTTCAAATTTAAGGAGGATGATGAACTAGCATTAACACGAAGCAATGTTAGAATTGTAATACTTTACCCAAAAAGGCCTTACCCAAAGTTGTGAACTCAATGCTTAGCTCAAAATTACTAATTTTACAATCAAAGGCATAGCGAGAGAAAAAGACATACCAATTTTAGAGTAAGAGAGAGAAGAACTTTACAATCAAAGGGTGAGAGAGAGAGCTTTTTTTTCCTACAAAAATGAAACCGGAAAAAATTACAGAATCTTAATGATGTTCATACCTCTACTACTTTTAAAACCCACAAAAACTCACCTCCTCAACCACTCAATATATCAAATAAAAAAATGAAAGCTAGACCAATAGAACTTTTGTTCATTTGATTTTGATCCTTCAAAAAAAGAAAAAAGCATAAAACATTATGAACACCAAAATTAACTAAAATCAAAATA